TGTTGGAACAGGTCCAGAGAAGGGCCACGAGGATGATCAGGGGACTGGAGCACCTCCCATATGAAGATAGGCTGAGAAAGTTGGGGCTGTTCAGCCTGGAGAAGGCTGCGTGGAGACCTCATAGCAGCCTTCAGTATATGAAGGGGGGCTATAAGGATGCTGGGGAGGGACTCTTCATTAGGAATTGTAGTGATAGGACAAGAGGTAAGGGGTTCAAACTTAAACAGGGGAAGTTTAGATTGGATATAAGGAAGAAGTTCTTTACTGTAAGGGTGGTAAGGCACTGGAATGGGTTGCCCAGGGAGGTTGTGAATGTTCCGTCCCTGGCAGTGTTCAAGGCCAGGTTGGACAAAGCCTTGGGTGGCATGGTTTAATGTGAGGTGTCCCTGCCCATGGCAGGGGGGTTGGAACTAGATGATCTTAATGTCCTTTCCAACCCTAACTATTCTATGATTCTATGATCTAGAAATCTCTAGCAAACAAGAAACACTGCCCTAGGAAATCACTTAAGGTATCTCACAGATCTTAAGTCATTCTGTAATTATCTATCATCTTTGTCACTTGATCAGCATTTTGGCATGATCTGATATTTTCCAGAATTAGTTCCAAATGCAGCAGTATACTTTGCATAAATGTAGAATTACATTTTTATACTGAGATATCAGGCAGTTAAGCTTTATTGCTGAGATTTTCTTATGTAAGTGTTTCAGGTTAAATACAGGATTTTCTAGGGTTCTGAGCCTAAAGCAGCACACAATGAATAAAAATTTTCATTTCATACATGTTCAAGGCATATATCCTGATCTCAGTGAAATACAGTCCTGTCTTAAAAAGAAGGAAAAGATTGTATTTTATTAGGACTTCTTTATTTTTTTTTTAAGAAACAGAATTGTTTCTAGTTGAAGAACTCATTTCTGCTCTCCATTACATACATGCCAGTTTGGAATTGCTTCTGATTTTAGTAATGGATTTTTTAATTGAGCTGGTTGTTAGATTCTTACAAAGAATAAAACTGCTGATCTCTGGTAGTTATGTTTTAGCCATAAGCTTTTTTTAATATTTCTAGCCAACTGCAATAAAACCCCACATCCTTTAAGAAAGCAGTTGCTTTAAGTGTTTCAGATTTCACCAAATAGCAATGAGCATTTAAAAGATGCATTTGAGATCTTATAAATATATTAGTATAGAATTAAAGGCAATTAATACAAAGAGAAGGGGAGGAATATTGCTATCTTGTTACTGAGCAGAAGAAGATCATAAAATTAAAAGAAAGTTTTTTTGAGAGATAAACCTGCCATCCCAAGAATGACAGAATTTATTCAGCTGGGTTATTCAAGTACAGCCAGCCAACTTCAAAATCCTAGTTCTGCTTCTAAGGTCTACAGCATGTTTTCCACACTAGGAATTAAGCATTTGTTTATACCACAGCAAATGGAATAATACATGTAGTGAACAGCATGGTGCATATGAGAGAGCTTCTAATCACAATAGCTATAATTAATTTACCATTGGTAATTAAAATTACAAGAAACCAAGAACAAACAAGAAACTTGACTTATTTATTTTTACAAACCCACACGTCACACTTTGGGTGAAATAATTATATATTTATAACCTGTGATTTTTTTTCCAAAATTATGTATGAGAACATGGGTTAATTATTAACTCAGTGGTGAGAAAAAAATATTGGGAGGAAAAAATGTCTAAAGGCTGAGAAATAGGTACTGGAGAAAAAATTTCCATGGGCTGGGGACAACAGAAATATATGCCTATGCAACTAAGAGGTCCTCGTCAAGGATCACTGGGCTTGACTTCTTCAAAAGAAATCAAAATCAATGTGCCCCTATTAGAGAGTTGACATGTGGGAAGATGTGAGAGAGAAGGAGGAGAATGAAAGAGAGAATGAAATAACAGAGAAAGGGCATAGCTGTGATCAGGCTGACAGCTAGGCAAGTCAGCACACCAGCAAGCCATTGGTTTTATAGGATTACAACAGAGGAGGAGATTTTTAAGGAGAGATTTGAGAGAAAACAAACAGCCAAACCCCAAAATAGATTTGCAGATGCTTACTGGGCAACATCATCAAATAAAGACTGGAAGGAACACAGCTTGAAAGTTTTGCACGGGGTCTTATAACTGGCATGATAAAGGCAGTAATCCATACATCACTAGAAGGAATTTGGGAGCAAAGAAAAGCATCTTAAAATCAAATTAAAAGAATGAATACCAATACAAATAAGAAAAGTGGATGGCAAGAATTGTTACAGTAAGTGATAAAAACATTAACAGAAGACAAAACCAAAATTGTTAAGGGAGAAATGAAGTCATTCAGTTCCAGAGGAGATAAATGTCATAAGACAGAGTAAGTTCCTTCCCTCTTGTAAGTGAAGAAACAATCCCTCTCCTCTAAAAAACTAACAAGGGAGTGCTCAAATGGGACTAAAGACTGCACCCAAAGGTTTGGGGGCATCACTTGTCGTACAGGAAAGGGCTTGGAGTCTACAGACCACCCTAAATAGTGGTCTCAGGACTTCCCAGGGATCAGAAGGAAAGTGCCTGTCTGGGCTGAGGAGCTGCCTTGAGTGAATAGCTCTTTTATCTCCATGGTCTATAAAGTGCCTGTCTGTGATGTTCTCCTGTAATTGCTGCTTTGGAAATGGCTGCACAAGAGCTTACGGAGGTCTGTACTGAATGAGCACTTCTCCTGTATCTCATGTAATGCAGAAAGCTGCCTGCTTGCATTAATTCTCCTTCACTTGTTTATGTGGAGGGGTATGCTAGTAACTAAAACAAAAATAAACACAGGAGCTGAACATGGGCTAAAGAGAGGCTTCTCTGAGGCCGAGCTTTAGGAAAAAGCACAGAGAATCTAGAATACCACAGAGTGCTAAACTTTACATTAGTACCTTAAGAAAGACAAGGAGCAATGGTAAGAGAAGAAAACACATAAACAGTATTCATTTTAGCTTGGAATCACACATAATACATAAAGACAACTTATGCAATTTCAGAGCTCTTTGGCAGTTATAGAGCAGTGTTTCTGGAGACTGAAAACCAGTCCAGCATGAATTGTGTAACAAATGACAGCATAAAATCCATTCTCCAGGCCCCGAAATCCAGGTACCATTCCTGAAATTCACTACAAAGTTATATCCAGCCTGGTGAAACCACAGGCTGCCATGGAAAGAAACGCTCTCACCTCCCACCATGCTCCTCCCAAGCATCAGAAGTAGCAACCATGTGACCGCAGCACCAGCTGGCGCAGTGACCTACCTGACAGAAGATTAATCTGCCAAACCAAGGTTTTCTATCTGATCGGTTGGCTGAGCTGACTCATTCTGCGCTCACAGATTGCTCAACCCAGTACAACGTAAGCCAGGGAAACAGATGAGATGGAGGAAGTGTGGGACTGCCCCTCCTGAATGCAGCCTCTACTCAAACCATGGTATGCGCAAAGCCAAGAGTTATACTGAGATATTCATAGGCGCTAGGTGGACAATAAGTCAGTCTTTGCAACTGTTTAGTAACTGAGCTTTATCCCACAGAAAGTGCCATTTTCTTACTGCAACCATGACTGAAGAATCTGCAGTCCAACAGCTGTTAGAAAGCAAAGACTTCAGATCAACATGGAGCTCCTGAAATTCAAACCTAAATGCAGAGCAAATATATATTTCAATACATAAAATTTGGCAGACTACACCTAAAACATTAATCTCAGTTTGAGAGAACACTCTAGTACACTACTGCACAGTTTAGGAAGTTCAGCTCAATGTAACTGAGGAACACTCCATGTCTTCAAACACAAGGTATTACCACTAGCTGCACATATCTGAATGGAAAGGAGACACCGGCAGCTTACCACTCTGACAAGCACCAGTGGAAATCCTTCCAAAAGCAGGCTGCAAATAACAGATCTCAAGGAAAACTCAAGGAGAAACACTAAACAGTTAAAAGTGCTTGACAGCTCTGCTCATTACAGCTGCAGAAAAAGAGGCACAGAAAAATTCACGAGTAAAACCAGAAAGAGAAAAAGTTATATTAGAATAAACAAGACCCAAACACATCCAAATCCCAAACCTGCAAAAATGAAGATCACAGACAAACCAAGGCAAGAGAGAAACCTTCACACTTCATGTTACTTGTGAAATTACCACCTTCATTTTCATTTTTTGAACATCTGAGATGTGTATATTTTAAGGGACTTTTATTAACAGACACAAAAGGCAGTTTGAATCAATCACAATGTTAATTACCTCTGATTAAAGGAATGAGGTTATGCGAGAAGATAAATTTTAGTTATCAAGCAGCAGAGATATTTTTATGAGGGAGCAGAGTTCAGCCTGAATGAATGCAAATAGATAAAAAAGCAGACTGTGCCAGGTGTCAGATATACTGGCCAGCCAATAGGCCATTTAGCTATTTTGCATTTTCCTTGTCAGCAGAATCCATCTTTGAATCAGGTGCAAATCACTTTGTTATTTATACCACTAAATTACACATGGAAAAATATATACATGACTATAAAAGGTCGTTAAATATCACAGAAAAATCAATGCAGAAACAAGTTTAGAGTTTGGAATACTATGTACACCTCACAACTAGCAATGCATAACTTAGTGAAAAAAATACGTAAATGATTTATAAAGATGCCCAAAAGAAAAAGCCTTAGATAAGTTTTAGAAACAAACAAAACTATATGTTCCATGTGTGTTCCATTTCTCTATCCCTTCTTGGGTGCAAAAGGTCTGGTTTTGTCACTTGCCAAGCATGTTTCCCAAATGGAAAATGGCTGCCAACAGAGGAGACGTTATAGCTGACAGCTTGCAAGGTTGGTGTTTTTATTTATTCACTTGGGGGAGTTATCACACAAGCATTTGCCTCTGGCAACCTATCCCAATGTACAGTGTTATAACATCTCATTGTGATACAGGCTGGCAGAAATTATGTGCAGTTTACATAGCCACTATCTCATGTGTTTCAAGGTCTGATCTTGGACACAGTTAATTGAAAACATGGGTCCCTTTATTCCTCTTGCTTTGGTTGTCAGTCACCATCATGCATTTCTCTACTGCGAGCCTTGCTTCCACCTTCTAAATCTCATTACTGTTATGTTTTCCGAAGGAAAATAGCCATAGAACGACCTGCTCATACTTGATTTACGCTGCTGTTCACCTTCTCTTAAAACAATATATTTCACTCAGAAGCTCAGATGTGCATGACAGGGAAAGTCAGTGAGACAATCTGTAAATGAAGTAAATTATAAAGAGAACTTCAAATTAGCATACACAACATGGTACTCTCCCTCCTGTAGTAGAAGGGGGTTAATTTTTATACTCTTGGAAGAAGTAGCTAGTAGGCTTTGTTTGAAATCTCCTACAGGTGACAGCAAGATCATGCTGGAGCTTATTCCTTCCCTTCACATTCCCCCCCACTTCTCCATTACACAGACAACCCCTGTGCCTCCGCTGTTAAGTTATCCAATGTGGAGTCCTTCTAAGCATCTCCCCAGAGCGACTCCTCCAGCCTTGTCCATGCTTCCTAGGGAAACAACACCAGCATGCATGCTCACATGCCACCTGCTCACTCTGTGAAATGCCATATATGTTGCCTGCTAGAAGCGCCCTTTACCACAAAGTGGGTTCCATCCACAACTAGAAGAGAACCATCTTGTGTCTGCATGTCCTGTAAAGCACTTGCTCCGTTTCTCCCCCCGCTAGACTTCCATTTCTAAAACTTCAGCCTATCTATTAATATCCCACATTACTTAATACTCAGATGTCTGCCTACCTCCATTTTCCAATCCTTCCTAGGCTCTACACTTCAGAAGCAGAAGTGTCACGGATTTGCTTTGCAAACAATGACTCCCCTCAGCTCCATCATCAGGATATAGGGTTCTTTTGAACTGAAAAGAAGCATGCCTAAACAAAAGAAACTTCTTTCATAATTTCAGCATTTGGATTTTATTACAGCATTTTTAAGCAATATTTTATTTTAAGACTGAAGCATTCCAGTATTATTGACTGCTCAGTGGCACATGTATAAATAGCACTAGTGAGTGCATCACAGAGCTTTGTAACTGCAAAAGCATGGATAATAATTACATTCTCTGCCCTTTATCAGTGTTGACCGATTTTAGCATATACACTAATGGATACTCTTCACAGAGCACCAGGATAGTGAAAACTCCTACAGTCACTGACTTCCTGTTACTGCAATGTTGCTGGAATCTGATGGAGCAGAGCCAATAATACTGTTGAAACAAAAAAAAATCTTCCTGATAGGAACATGTAGACAGAGGGAAAGTACAATCTTCAAAACCTATCCAAATGACAATGTGTAAAATATGTCAGAAGTATCAAGAAGACAAGGACAACTCCTGTCATAAAGAGGAAGAAAGGGTCCCTTGCATTTTATAGCTTCCTTCTTCCAATTTCCAGTATAGTGCACTTAGATTTCTAGATTATGTAACCTCTTCAGTGGTTGCACTTTCATAACGAATTAAATATAAAACGAATGACTGAATCAATATAACTATTAATGATGATAATACAGGCTAGCAAAGAAGCTACTTCCACTAAAAAGGACAGCACTGAAGTAGTTGAACAAGTGTTAAAATTATCGAAGCACTAAGTTTCAGAGTTAATAAGCTTTCAAATGAGGTTCTCCTATTTCACATTGTCAAGATCATGAAGGAAGACACACTTTTCTTCACATTTTTTAAGACTCTCTTTGCAGCAATAAGAGTCAAGAGACAATTTTCGCTTGAACTGAAAGCTCAGATTCCAGAACCAAATTTTGTGGCAAAGGATGAATTTTGAAGATACGAGATTCTAGAAAATAGAAGACTTTTACTAAATTATCTACCACACTCTTGCTAGGAAGTCAGCATTTTTTTCAAAGTCTTTCTATAAACCATTACTTGAACATAGTTCTAATTATAAAACCATACCAGGTTTTGTTATGCACATTTTTAATTTGAGATACGAATAAACTGCCCAAAGAAAACTATAAGCAGTTTTCCAACAAGAACTGAATCCATCTGTGTTTGTCCGGAAAGATACACATCTACTTAAATCTCCAGATAGAGCCTTAGGACTGTGAAAATACAGATGCTTATTAAGTTTCTACTTAACAGCATGGCCAAGAACCAATGTTTCAAACAAAGCTCTAGCTATGACCTGCCAGAAAAAGTGAACTTTACTGCCTTCAAGCAACTGTGGTCTGGAAAGCAACACTAACCAAAATCTATCACCATCAAACATTTAAACAAAAACATATTATTCCTTTCTTTCTTAGATTTTCCTTCTTGCTATCCCTTACAAAGTTCAATGTCCCTTTTCTTCTGGCCTTTCCCCACAAAGCCCATGGACCTGCATGACAATGTGCTACTGATCTTCAGAACATGAGACTAAGTCATTACATGGGATGGAGTGATGCCTCTAATTAAGGAAAACATTATGGTTTTGAAGGCCAGCCTTCTTGAAGAAACATATTTCTTCATAATTTCACCAGACATAATACTATTGTAGTGCTAGGATGAAGTCAGAAGTTAACACCTTCTTCTGCTCACCACTTCACTTATATCTTAGTCATTACCTTTTAGGGAAACGTGTGCTGGAGTCTTCATTTCTGTGGTAGTTACTACAAGCCTTGAGGGGTAATAGCTATGCTAGAGCAGCTTTTAAAGAACTGCAGGGTGGAAGAGGTAGATCAGTAAGGATTGAATCTGAGCATGAGGAAAAGGAGTTGGGGAAAGTGATTTATCCCTGCCTGTTTCTCAGTCTTCTACTCTATTTTTAACTGGGAACAAATTAAACTAATCTTCTCTAAGTTAAGTCTGGTTTGCCCATGATGGTAACCAATGAGTAATCTCCATGTCCTTACCCGTCCTTACCCATGAACTTTTGATCTTATTTTCCTCCCCCATCCTGTCAAGGAGGGGGAGTGAGAGAGCGGGTGGGTAGGCATCTGACAGCCAGCCATGGTCAACCTCCCCCAAGTAACAGTGACTAAACCCCACCAACAGGAAAGGACCCAAAGAAGCACTTCTATAGCATGGCGCCCCTTACTCCAATTCCAGGTCTCAGTGAGCAGGGAACCTGAGCAGCTCTGCTCAACCCCTGCCTGCCTGATGGGGCTCCCACTCCTGCCTCTGCCTTTACTATTTGAAATACAATCCAAACCTAAACTGTGAGGAGTTAGGGGCAGCACACTCCCAGTTTAGTTTTCCATGTTGTCTCCATATGGTGTTCACACTAACCAAACTGATTATTATCAACAAACAATTAGCAGTTAGGTCCCAAGGAGCAGTAAGCAATCTTCCAGGCTAACAAATACAAACATTCTTCATCAGGTAGAATGCTTCACAGCTGCAGAAGGGTAACATTTCAAGTCAGGTATGTTGTTGCAAATCCCCAGTACTACCAGCAGTGCTTTGACCGTTGGGGTTTTTTTTTAGTATGAATATAGTGCTTTGAGTGGAATCTATTTCAAGTATAGGAAGGAATGGACGTTTAAAGGTCCTTCAAGCTGCAGATCTTTAAATCCTCCTTGCAATGGAAGACTAAGCATGAGCGACACTATCAGACATCAGAATGTTTGGGTTGAGAAAATTATTTCAAATGGAATCACACCTTTTCTGGCCAAGAAGCTCCACTGCAAAAGGAGCTGGACTAAGCATACTAGCTGCTGCATGCAGCTTTTTTCCCATTGTTTTTTCCAGAAAAGATTATTGTAGTGTGAGAGGCGACGCTCCCTCCTGTTTCTGCTACCTTTAGCAACAACCATTCATTTTTCATCAAATTTGACACAAAGTGGAAGTCAAAAAGCTACTAAGTTCCTACAGTGTTTTTGAAGACAGGTATCAGAGCAGAGACATTAAATTTAATCAGCACCCCCACTGAGAGAAAGCCTAAATGAAAAAAGGAGAATCCGTTCATAACAAAGATATTACAACAGAGACTAAATTGCCTTTACCTACCATTCAGACAATCAGACTTCACACCTAAATAGATGCCAGAGAATGCAACCACACTCACGGGACACACACACACATCCACAAACCCTCCAGTAAACCAGACTTCAATAATTACTCTGTTCCTGAACCTACTTAGGTGTTAAAAACTAATAATTGCCTTTCTTCAGCAACAAAAGCACTTTAAGCTCACTTACACAGCACATTTGTATTTGGATTGATCTCAGAAAGCTGGGGGACAGCTTCAAAAATATCAAGATGTCAGTCACCAATCACTGGATTATTTGGCCCACCTGACACAGCTTCAGTCTGCCCTGGGGAGAAAGTAAGTGGTGTGTAAATGCAAAACGTAACATTTCAAGTAATCTGTTTGAGGCGTAACAGCATTTGCCATACTTATTCAAAACCACAGATCATTTCCATGGAGGATACTACAGGACAAAAAAAAAGACATATCACCCTGCTGCATGCCAAACCCCTCTCTGTCTCTGCAGTAAAGAACTGGAGAAGGATGCAAGCACAGGGATACACACACCAGGATGACCTGCACATATCCACTCCTATAAATGTTTAAGTAAATATAGGATTTTCATCTCAGTTCCAAACTCACACTGCATGCTGGTATGTGAGGAAAGTGTCTTCTTCTATACAAAGTTGAAGCATCTTAAAACAGGATTTGAAATCTGGTAATTTATGCCACTTTATGCATTTGCTGACAGGGATACAATTCTACAATTCTAAATGATTTCCTGGGCATATCACCTTATAAAACGGGGTGTGGGTATGATTCCATTGGGATGCAAGAGGGCATTAACACTACTATATCAAATGTACGGTGTCAACAAGTAAATCATCGGGAAGAGCTGATGAGCTGAAAATTGAACCTACCTTTCAGTACAGCTGGAAGCCTGACAGGCTTGATGGTTACCATAGTAATCCTGTGGCAGTTTTGGATTTATTGCCTTGTACTGCACTGTTATAAAGGTTCTTCAGCTACCTTCTACACTGTTTCCAGAGTCAAGAGGAATGCTATGATAAATGTCCACTATCCAAAAGATATATGCAATGGGATATAATGCAAGAAAGCAGTACTTTAAATGCAAATTACATGCTTTTTGCCCTTTTCAGAATATTAAAGAGTGATTTCAAGGGAATGAAAACAAAGAACTCTGACCTCTGACACCATGATTCTTTGCTACAGCTCACAATTTTCTGTGGTACTGGCTACTGCATATTTAAGTAGCATGAAACTGAGAATGAGGTAATAAATTCCACTAAAGATAGTCTGAGTAATGCATTGATTATGAAAATGAGCATACAACTGAGTAATTACTGGAGCAGGCAGACATGGGGTCTTGTTCAGTATATTTAAATCATTCTGTAACCATTAGAAATTAAATTATTTCATTATATCTAATTTACATCCCTTTATATTTTCAGTAAGACAAAAGAATACTGTTACGTGGAATAAATATGATGAACAATTAGCATTCCAATATTCACACGCTACACCATAAACAGTGTGCATTAATGTTACTAGATTGCATTAGATTTTAGTTTACCTCCGTGAATGGCTCTAAAGGAAAATACTGATAATTTTCCTTTTATTACTATCCTAAATATTGCTTGCTACTCTGTTCAGCCATGTCTTGAAAAAAGCAACTTCTACTCTTGTTCGTAAACACTGCAATTCATGAAATATTCCATTATATTTTACTGGATTGTTTATGTCCATAATTCTCCTTGATTGCACAGCAATAAAAGACTGGGGGAACACAGGCTTTCTTAGCAAGTGCAGAAACACCATGCACTAATTTGTGTATTAGCAATTCCCATGTGGATGCTACGTTATTGATTCTGCCATCTAAATTCTACTCTTTGACAGGAAGGATATTGCGTGTAGGATTAATAAAATGATTTCCTCCAGCAATATTTTTTTTAAAG